GCTAGCTGCTCCTTGTGATCGTGGTGGGCGTACGATGTCTTTGAGCTTGGTGTCAACCTCTCGAGGCTCTCATCATGGAGGCTTCGTGACATTTTAGAGTATAATAAACATGCTAATATTGTAACACTTTAAAGTTCAAAAGGCTTAGACCTACTCTAAATGCTTTGAGTGAACCATACACTTCACTCCAGCCACTTACTACACCCATGTAGTACCATCCAAGCAAACCAAGCATCCTGTCTTTCCTTTGATCTGTCCGCACAAAACAAACAAATAGCGGGGTAATCATTGGTAGTAACAAAATTATTGCTCTACATATGAAGTCCTCCTTTTGGAACGCATCGTACATCTGCTCCCCATGCCTCCATAGCCTCTCCATTTCTTGCATCAAGGGCTCGAGGAACACGTCTATATCAATGTCTGGTTGTTTAGGGACGTAAATAAGAATAGTGAGGAGAAGGTACTTTCTCTTCCGACACAACCATGTTGGAATGTTGTCCATGGTCAAGATCAACGCCATGTGCTGTGGTTGCTCATCCTCTCATTGAAGGGATTCATTCCATCGGTGCTCGTGCCAAACCGTACATTCTTTGGGTCATCACTGAATTCTTTGTGCTTCTCATCAAACCTTTGCCATCGACTACAATCACCGGGTGTGTAATCTTATCATCATCCACCTTGCGCTCATCATCCCACCATGTCATGAGTGCGGCTTCTTTAGGATTTAGGAACATACGTCTCAAGCGGTCGGTCACCGGCGGTACCACATTACCGTAAGCAGGAATTCTTCTATGCTTTGCATCGTTGCCTAATAGAGTGTCCTCTCAAAATTTGAGATTCTTGTACCACCTTTTTGTACCCTTCTTATTCCTCTCTTTACCCGTGGATGGTTCGTCCCCACCGTAAAGGTCATTGTTCTTGTACCGGGGTGGTCCCACACCGAGGACATTTATCCAACGACTTGAACGTTTCGCCACGAAAAAGTATATACGATGGTTGGGGCATGCATGTATTTTTTCAACCCCATTGTCAATGGACTTATGATCTTCTTTGTTTGGTACGTGTTGGCGGAACTCGAGTTTGGTTATGGCAACACCATGACGGGAGATGCAATAGATCATTGAAACTACAAATCGACCAAATTGTACTTAGCCTTCGGGGATGAGCAGCTCAAGCACAAAACGTAGTAATGTCCAATGTGTCGGACAACCCTTTTCAACACCATACACAGTCTCCTTCGATGCTTTTGTCACTCTTTCCAAATTTTCTAAACCTTTCGGGTTATTTAGTAAAATCTCTGGTCCAAGGGTTCAATCATGTCATCTAAATCATCTTCAACTCCGACACGTGCTCCACCATCATTATTGGCACCACATTCGTCGTTACCATCCCAACCACCAGCATCACCACCTTGTTCATTGCCAAACTCAAAATCCATTCGTGCATCAAGCTCTGCTGAATATTGGGACAGGGATTCTATGGTTTCGTCGTCGTATTCCTCCTCATCCTCGTCGTTAACAATAACAGTTTCACCATGATAAATCCACACTGTGTAGTCCTCAACAAATCCTCGCATAATCAAATGTGATCTGATGATAGTCACATCTGTCCATGCCATACGGTTCTTGTAATCTTTACAGGGGCAAATAATTGTATCCTTATTCTCTTTCAATGTCGTTGCATGCTTCGTTGCGGCTTCAATAAATTTATCCACCTCTTCACGGAAACCTGCCTTGAATCTTAACAAACCATACATCCAAGAGTTCATGTACTCCATCTTTTACAACAACAACAAAACAAACATTAAAGGAATACTTATTCAGATATATATAAAAATGAATCAAAGTAATAATTATTTGAGAATAATTGTATATACCTCAGATATATATTTATATAAATCTAATATAATTACATGAAGCATACAAACACACCATGGTAGAGAAAATTAATTAATGGCCCATTTATCCATAAATAATTAAAATACATATTTATTGATTACAATAAACAATTTTAAAGACAACAATTAGCAATAATTATACTTTACCCAATATCTTTCATACAAACCCTAGTCCAATTTTATCAAACATAAATTTACAAAAACGAAATTAATAAAAAAACAAACCCTAGATCTAGATCACATGCACATGAAACATCCATAAAACTAACTAATGGTTCACTAAAAACAAGAAATATGGACCAAATAAGGGTATGATCTTGTTTCCTCCCTAATTTACCCTAGTACATTTAAAAGTTGGGTCTAATTTGCTCATAAATAGCTCAAGCACCATAGAAGAGAGAGAAAAACAAAACTCTAATTACTCACTAACCAACCATTAAAACTTCAAAAAAAGTTTGGAATAGTATTTTCTTACCTTCTACAACCTCTCCATCAAAGGATTTGAGACCAAAACCTTCCCCTTAGTAGAGCAATTTTAGGAGGTGCCCAAGGCCTCCCCATCTTTTTTTCACGGGTTGGAGTGAGTGACCCGACGAGAAAGAAGGAGCTGCATCTGCTTTTATATGGGGACATTTGTAGGCGGTGGTGATTGAGCCGCCCCTACAAATCGGTGCTATAAATCTGGGGCCATTTGTAGGCGGCTCAATCACCACCGCCCCTACAAATACCATTTCGTGGCGGTTGGTGATTTTGCCCCCTACAAATCGAACCCCATTTGTAGGGCGGCTCGTAACACCAGATCGCCCCTCATTGTTCGTTGTAAAGCGGGTGGTGTCTCATGCACCCTAAGACGCCAACAGAGGGGCGGCTCCATCACCACCGCCCCTACAAAAAAAATCAACAGATTGCTAAAAAATCGCTTTTCTCACGTAGTGACATTATTATGAAAGAAAAACTTAAGTATAATAATGAACATGTAAATATTGTAACACTCTAGAGTCCAAAAAGATCATGAACCACATACTTCCACCAACCCACTTACACTTTTGTGCTCGCTTCATGTAAAAGCATTAATCCGAGTCATGGTATGAACTCTAAAGCTTTATATGTTTATGGAACCGACCATCAATAACTAAGGTGGGACTACCCACCCTCAATGTCACATTAACAAACATTTGGATAGGCAAATCCAAACTTGTCCAGATGTCCTCAATATGAACTAAATTACTCTATGTTCCATTATGAATCTATCTAAAGTAAACCTCTAAATTTGAATATAAATTATCTAGTTCTATCTTATGGAAGATAATCTAAAACAAACCCTACATTTGCATCTAAGTAATCCGTTAAATTGGCTTATAAGTTACCTACCTCTAACATTAGAAAATAAATAAAATAAAATTATCAATATCTACTATTATGAAAAGGGAATAAGTAAACATATATATGTTTCTCAGTTCTCACTTCTACTACTAGAAATATACAAAAAAAACAACTATCTCAAAGAAATGAGCACAACATGTAGACAAAGTATATATGCATCTATGAGCGATAACTATATATTTCTATGGTTTAGTAGTCATGAAAAATGTTGCCTATTAAATGAATCACATAACATGACCCTAACAATTAATTTTAAATTATATTAATAAATTATGACAAATGATTATGTAATTAAGTTGTTGCTTTAGATAAATTTATACATTAATAAATTATGTAATTATGAAAATAAACTTATCTACTAATTCATTTAATTATAAGCGCTCTATTGTTGCAAAATACTAACACGCATGATTATTTGAAAGGTAATTCAACACCTAGAGCACTAATATGACTTTTTATGTCAATATAGTAATTAAAAGTGCAGTCTATGACTTTGAACTTATATTTTCAATAAAATAGAAAAGGAAAATTTAAATAAAATGTACATTAAACACTAAAGTTTTTACTCAAAATCTAAAAACAAAACAATAGCAACCAATAAGATTAATATATGAAATCCAATATTTAGATTAATTATATCTTGAAGACAAATGAGCCACAATTAAACATGTATTGAAGACTCATAGATGTGCGATTCAAACGGAGGGAACTATGAATATGGATGGAAACTATATAGAGTAAAATTGGTAAATCCATCACTACCGGATATAGACCATGGAGTTTGTATATGAGCGTTGTGTTAATACATAAAGAACTCAAACATAAGTAATTTTATTTAGTTGTTTGTACTAAATTATCTATGAACTTCCTAGCATCACTTATGTCTCTTAAGCTTTTAGCCTATGCAAAAGCACGGGTGGATGTATTAGTACTTTTTTTTTTTAAATATGAGGAATCACCAAGCCAACGTTTAAACAAAAGAGCAAATTTTATAGGAGTACAAGAAGGACAACACCCACTGTTGTTTGTTGGCACACTTCTCAAGCAAATTCAAGCCTCTAACTTGAATGTTGGTACTGAGCATAATAGATGTTGATCCCAATCAGTGACGGAGCTAAAACAAATTTGAGGGGGATGCAATTGCCTTTTGGGTGCATTCAGTTTTACTGTGGGGATACATATGAGTAAAAATATTTGATCATAATCATTGTTTTTTTTTGTTAATTTTACTATGGTGCACCGGTACCCACGGCTGTATACATAGCTCTGTGCCTGGATCCCATCAAGTACCACAAAAAACTACTTCAACTCTTCAGCAACTTGGGCGTCCATCACCGTGGTACCTCTCTGCTGATCTTTAGCACTTGAGCATGTTACTAGATACAAGCAGCCAACCCATATGACACTGAATAAATGATCAACCATCAAGCGAGAACAAACATCAACTTGCAGCAATCCTGGCCACTACCGCTGTTCTACATTGAAACTTATTTCTGGAGTATCACCAAAATATTCGTGGAACAAGTACAGATCACCCATCTAATAATCGCCCTCACATGCATTCATGCTCACGGGAATGTAAACTCACTAAACAACTAAACCGGTCCTGTGCACCGATATTTCTCCTATAAATGCAACGCTCAAGCGCCACCACGAACCATCACAAGCGCTTAACGATCAGTTGTTATTAAGGCACATCTTAATCACGCTGTGCTTCGCGCTAGTGATCAAGCAAGTTCTTCTTTCTGTACTCTGTAGCAATGGCAGGCAAGGCCTCGATCGCGTTGTTCCTCGCCGTGAACCTGGTGGTGTTCGCCATGGCCAGCGCCTGCGGTGGAGACTGCCCCACGCCGACCCCTTCGACGCCGACCCCGACGCCGGCCTCGTTCGGCAAGTGCCCCGCGACGCGCTCAAGCTGGGCGTGTGCGCCAATGTTCTGGGCCTGATCAAGGCCAAGGTGGGCGTGCCGCCCACGGAGCCATGCTGCCCGCTGCTGGAGGGGCTCGTCGACCTCGAGGCCGCACTCTGCCTCTGCACCGCCATCAAGGGCAGGATCCTCGGCATCAACCTCAACCTGCCCGTCGACCTCAGCCTCATCCTCAACCACTGCGGCAAGACCGTGCCCACCGGATTCAAGTGCCTCTAAGCTAGCCAAGAGCATGCCGGCGTCTTCTTTTGCTTGTCATTCGTCTCTTACTGTCTTAGTGCAGACTTCTTATCGGTTGCTACGTACGTACGTGCTTGCTAGCTAGCTCCGCGCCTACGTGCATCCGCGCGAACACGCGAAGTACGTACGTTGTAGCCGGTTTGATGACCAGCTTTCGCTTTTGGGTGTTTCTTTTTATGTAAGTGCCTCGATCGTCCTTTGCATGGACAGTGTCACTGAACTATTTGGATTGTTATATTCTTTTATTTGAATACAGCAATATGCTTGATGAATAAAGCTTATATTGTTCGAAATATTTGCATATTACTCTAATATCATATTTTATTCTGAGGCATATATCATTTTCATACACATTTGCAAATGCTACATAAAACATAAGTAATTGAGGCAATAATCCACAACCATTTGAGACGTAGAATTACTAGTATTCATGACACTATATTCATATCCGTGTGCAATTTCCAACCGACCAAAAACACTCTCAAAATCTCTGGTAGCTAGATAGAAGGTGATCCTTTTATTCAGCCTAGCTTCTCCTTTGTTCCCTATGATATAAATCTCGGAATACTCCAAAGAAAAAAATGCTAAAACATCACAGTGCGCTTACATTATAAGTAGGTTCATATAAATGATGTCAACATTCTGCGGCTCATAGTTGCACGTGTAGTCCCTAAACTGTCGTTTGATTCTCGCCTAGGTACGCAAACTATGAAATTGGAAATCTATGTTCTTAATCTACTGAAGTGCTTCAATCCTGCTAGTCCAGAGCATATCCATCTACCTCCTCAGCTGCTGGAAGGGCTCGATCCCTCACTATGCTTCGTTCCACACATCGCCATGTCGCCTACATGGAGCTCCCCATCATGACTTAGTGCATCGAAGATGTTGCGATCCTCATCATAGATCCTGCAGCAACGCGCTTCCATGGGCATGCTGGCTAGCTGCTCCTTGTGATCGTGGTGGGCGTACGATGTCTTTGAGCTTGGTGTCAACCTCTCGAGGCTCTCATCATGGAGGCTTCGTGACATTTTAGAGTATAATAAACATGCTAATATTGTAACACTTTAAAGTTCAAAAGGCTTAGACCTACTCTAAACGCTGAGTGAACCATACACTTCCACCAGCCCACTTACTACACTTGTGTGTTCCCTTCATGTAAAAGCGTTAAACTGGAGTTTGTGGTTTGAACTGTAGAAGCTTTATATGTTTATCGACCATCAATAACTAAGGTAGAACTACACACCCACAATCTCACATTAAGAAGCATTTGAACCACTATAGGCCAATCCAAACTAGTCCAAATGTCATAAATATGCAACTAATTACCACATGTTCTATTATGAACCGATCTAATGTAAACCTCTAAATTTGAATAAAAATTGTGCAGTTCTATCTTATGGAAGATATTATAAAATAAACACTACGTTTGTATCTAAACATCTAAGTTACCCACCTTTGACATTAGAAAATAAATAAAATGAAATTACCAACATCTACTATTATGAAAAGGGAATAAGTAAACATATATACGTTTCTCAATACTCACTTCTACTACTATAAACATATAAAAAAAACTATCTCAAAGAAAGGCAAACAACAAGAGTAGACAAAGTATATATGCATGTATGAGCGATAACTATATATTTCTATGGTTTAGCAATCATGAAAAATGTTGCTAAATGAATCACATAACATGACACTAACAATTAATTTTAATTTACATTGACAAACAATTATGTAATTAAGTTGTTGATTAGTTAAATTTATACATTGACAAATTATGTAATTATGAGAATACACATATCTATCAATTCATTTAATTGTAGGGACTCTGTTGTTACAAAAATACTAACACACATAATTATCGTAAAGGTAATTCATCACCTAGAGCACTAAAAATTCTGTGTATGTTAATATAGTAACTAAAAATGTAGTCTATGACTTTGAACTTATGAATAAAATAGAAAAGAAAAGTTTAAATAAAAGGTACATTAAATACTAAAGTTTTAACTTAAAATGTCAAAAAAAACTATACCAATCAATAAGATTTAAATATTAAATCCAAAATTCTGAATATTAATGACATTTTGAAGACACATGAGCCACAATTAAACACATATTAGTATCTCGTAGATGTGCAATGCAGGGAGGGCTATGAATATGCATGGAAAGTGTATTGAGTAATTGGTAAATCCATCACAACCGGATACAAACCATAGAGTATCTATATGAGCATTGTGTTAGAAAATGAATACAGAAAGAACACAAACATAAGCAGTTTTGTTTAGTTGTATCTACTAAATTATCTATGAGCTTCTACGCGTCACTTATGTCTCTTAAGCTTCTAGCCTATGCAAAAGTACGGGTGGATGTATTAGTACTTTTTTCTATAAACAAGAGGAGAATCACCTAGCCAACATTCAAACAAAAAGAACAAAATTTTATAGGAGCAACACCCATCGTTGTTTGCTGGAACGCTTCTCAAGCAAATTCAAGCTTCTGAATCTGAACTTGAATGTTCGAACTGAACAGAATAGATGTTGACCCCGACATCCCGTCAAGCACCACAAAAAACTACTTCAACTCTTCAAGCAACTTGGGCGTCAATCATCATGGCACCTCTGCTGATCTTTAGCACTAAAGCATGTCACTAGATACAAGCAGCCAACCCATATGACAAGTTACTAAACTGAATAAATGATCAACCATCAAGCTAGAACAAACATCAACATGCATCGACCAATGCAGCAATCTTGGCCACTAGCGCTGTTCTACATTGAAACTTATTTCTGGAGTACCACCCAAATATTCATGGAATAAATCCAGATCACCCATTTAATAATCGCCCTCACATGCATTCATGCTCACGGGAATGTGAACTCACTAACAACTAATTGGCACTGCACTGATGGTTGTCCTATAAATGCAACAGCCAAGCGCCACCACGAACCATCACAAGCGCTTAGCGATCAGTTATTATTAAGGCACACCTTAATCACGCTCTGCTTCGTGCTGCTAGTGATCAAGCAAGTGCTTCAGTGCTCGTAGCAATGGCAGGCAAGGCCTCGATCGCGCTGTTCCTGGCCGTGAACCTAATCGTGTTCGCCATTGCCAGCGCCAGCAGTGGCGACTGCCCCACGCCGACCCCGTCCACCCCGTCGACGCCGACCCCGACGCCGGCCTCGTCCGGCAAGTGCCCCCGCGACGCGCTCAAGCTGGGCGTGTAAGCCAATGTTCTGGGCCTGATCAAGGCCAAGGTGGGCGTGCCGCCCACGGAGCCATGCATGCTGCCCGCTGCTAGAGGGGCTCGTCGACCTCGAGGCCGCACTGTGCCTCTGCACCGCCATCAAGGGCAGCATCCTCGGCATCAACCTCAACCTGCCCGTCGACCTCAGCCTCATCCTCAACCACTACGGCAAGACCGTGCCCACCGGATTCAAATGCCTCTAAGCTAGCCGCGAGCATGCCGGCCGGCCTCCGGCGTGTTCTTTGGCTTGCCATTCGTCTTACTGTCTTAGTGCAGGTAGCTGGCTTCTTATCGTCTGCTACGTAAGCGCGTGCTAGCTAGCTCTGCGTGAGTACGTGCATCGGCGAACACGCGAAGTACGTACGTATGTAGCCGGTTTGATGAGCAGCTTCCGCTTTTGGGTGTTTCTTTTGTGCAAGTGCTTCGTCCTTTGCTTGGACAGTGTCCCAGAACTATTTGGATTGTTATTCTTTTATTTGAATCCAGCAGTCTGCTTGATGAATAAAGCTTATATTTGTTGGAAATATGCATATATATTACTATATATAATAGCAGATTTTATTATGATGCATATTTCATACACATTTGCAAATACTACATAAATTAAAACACGATTAATTGAGGCAATAATCCATAACCATATTTGAGAAGTAGAATCACTAGCATTCATGGTAATATTCATCCGTGTGCAATCTCCAACCGACCAAAAACAGTATCAAGACCTCTAGTAGGCAAAGGGTATTGTTTTTGTTTAGCTTAAGCTCAGTCTTCTCCTTTCTTTGTCATCCATATAAATCTCAGAATACTCCTATGAAAAAATGCTAATATCACTACACTAGTACAGAGACGGCCTTTACTCCCGGTGGGGAACCCCCTCTAGTCCCGGTTCCCCACCCGGGAGCAAGCATCCGGGACTAAAGGGGGTCCTTTAGTCCCGGGTCAGGAACCGGGACTAAATGGGGACCTTTAGTCCCGGTGGGTAACACCAACCAAGACTAAAGGTGCCTCCTGACATGCCACGAGGCCGGCACCCTTTAGTCCCGGTTGGTAATACCAACCGGGACTAAAGTTTATTTTTTTCTTTTTTCTTTTCTTTTCATTTTTCGTTTTCTTTTCAAAATAGGTTTTCGAAGTCGTATTGTACGCTGCTAATAATACATTTATATGCGCGTATAGTATGTTTCGGTTCAAGCACAATGAACGTATTAAATGACACAATTCAAGCATAGAAATATATATATATATATATATATATATATATATATGCATGCATCATATATATATTTACATGCATGTATGCATATGTGTATTTTACATTATATTATTTCATGTGCATATATTACAAAAGATTGTATTACAGTTGCTGTGATATAACAAGTTTCCTCTCATTCTCTAGCTTAGCTTCCATGGCAGTGTTGGGTCGAAGTAGAACTCGCCCTTGGAATCGATGACCTGGTCATTAAAAAATCCGGCTATAGACTCTTGAATTGTTTTGATTTGGTCTTGCCGTATGACATTTTTCTTCAACCATCGAGCCTACAGGTTTGAATTAAAGAAAAATAAATTAATATATGTACATACATATATATATATAAAGACATAGTAACACAATCAATAATAATAATTAAATGAATATATAGTGTATTTTTAACGTACTTTGAGTCTCTCTGTAGGAGTTCTTTCGGAGACCTCTTGATAAACTTGCAAACATAGTAACCACAGTAGTTGTTCTCCTGTTCCTACCTCATACACCACTTTACGAGAAAAAGATTTGTCATCCAATCTGGTGATCCGGTGAAAGCTATATATTTAATTAATAAAGATGATGCGATTTAGGGGACTTACTTTCAAAGGGATTACATTCAGTGGCGCTTTGCATTTTCCCATGTGTTGCTTCTCAATAAAGGTTTTCCAAACACTGCCCAATAAAAAATTTGCCACGTCATCAGATATAGTTAATTATCATGTTTGTGTGTATATATAGTTGCTAGAGATACCGAAATTACCTCTGGATAATATCTATCATATCTTGGTAGTCTTGTTGTGGTTTTCTCATCGAGTCATAGATTATCAAGTGAGTTTTCATCAGATCGATGTCCATCAATATCCAGTGATTGTTGCAGGTGTTTATAGGATATAACGCATAACACTCATTAATTAACTAGAATCAACATATGAGCCATTAAGGATGATCGACATTATTAACACTTACTTGAAGTTGTAGGGAAAGAGTATATCCTTCTTATGGCGTTGGTTCACTAAGAAGTTCATGAGGTTACTCTCTGACTCAGACTTCCAATTAGGCTTTAGAGTAACTGGGTCTTTGAATACTATATGGGGATCAACAAAACCAATTTCATTGCAGCCTTCCTTTCTGCGCTCTGTCATTGTAAATCTGCATATATATAGTACTTGTTAGGATAATTTATATGCATATACACACATATGATGAGTTTAATAATAGATCGAAAGAATTATTACTTACAGGCAATAGCAGCTAATGATAACTTTGTCCAGAGAGGTTAGGTGGCATAGTTGATGAAATTATGCAAAGTCAATATACATAACATCATCGCCACGGAACCAATGTTCGTCTCTAATTCTGACACCAACGCAGAAGTACCCACCGGTAGATGTCTGCATGTACCACTTGTTTAGCAGGTACATTTGCGTCCCCAGATCACCTAAGGCTTGAGGATTGTATAGACTCTGGCCTAGTACAAATTTTTTCTTCTAAATATCAACCTCCGCCGCACTCTCAATATTTCCATCACCAAACATCTGGTAAAGGTCGAGACCAGTCTCTTCAATAAATTCACCAAGGTGATCCAAATCGACATTCGGAGGTATGTTTGCCTGATGCATTAATCCTAAATTCGAACCATATTCATTACTAACAACTAGCGGGGGGACTGATTGGTGTGATTGTTGTCCGAGTTGTGCAACTCCTTTCCCTGTCCGCTTCTTTTTCTGTGCCACCTCAATTGACTTGGTGAGAGTGCGGTCATAGTCCGTTAACGTTGCTTTGGACGGCTTACGAGATTCCCATTGTTGTTGCTGGTAAGAAGCCACCTTTTTTCTTAGAATATCTAGAGCTACGAAGAAGTACGGTTTCTTCGGGTTTCTCCTTGCTTCTTGATCCTTTTTAAGTTTGTCATAGAATCTGGACATATCTTTTTATATGCATCAGTTATTTCTTCCTTCTCTTCAGATATTATTTTGGGAATAGTCCTTGATTTCACGGTGGCTTTCTTTGCCGGCAGGGACTGGTTCTTCGTTTGCGGGGCTGGCCGCTTGCTAGTACTTGGCTTCTTGGTAGGCGAGGGCGGGGGAGGCGTTGGAGACCTCCTTGGAGGTGGTGGCAGCGGCGTTGGAGACCTCCTTGGAGGTGGCGGCAGCGGCATTGGAGACCTCCTTGGACATGGTGTGGATGCAGCCTCGCCTTCCAACACATTGTCATCGTACAGAGCACTATGATGATCTGGCGATTGAACAATTGGACCTAGGTTGGGGGAGGATCTGCTATAAAAAAAGGAATGACATATTATTATGAGCCGATTGTTAATTATTTAAGCCAATATAAATTAATGATGTAGTGTTTTCATCCGCACCTATGGTGAGGTAGTTCAGGAGGAGGTGGAGGCGACATCCCGGGAATGATGATGTAGCGCTTGCGTCATAGAATGAATGTCTTCTCTGCTTCTCCTAGATGGTAGCATATCCTTCTTGGATTATATTCCCATGAATCCTTGGTGTCTTGGTTCGGTCGATAGGATTAACAAGACCGATAGCCACCTTGATTGTGGAATTCCCCTTCGGAATGTGCAGCTCACACGATGTACAAGGTTCAGTGACGTCATCCATAGGGAAGCGCAGTCCTGTGTCCCATTGATTTGGTATCTCCGTGGAAGCGCAGCTGCTTTTCAACTGAGTAGGGGGGCTAATGTTGATTCCTGGCTCTGATGCCTGCTTGCTTGCACTCACTGCTATTTGCACTTGCCTTCTGATTTCCTCCTGTATTCTCGCTTCAAGGTTTTTTTCCTGCTCCTGTGCTTCATGCACAGCTTCCTCCAACCTCTGGAGCCGTTGTGCCTCTTCTTCCTTCTTTCTCTGGCGGCTTCTATAGGAAGGTCTGTCCTGAGGGAATCCATGCTCCCATGAGACACTTCCTTTGCCTCTAGTTCGGCCACCATGTTCAATAGTCCCGATGGCATATGTCAGTTCATCCTTCTCTCTGTTGGCCCTGAATGCACCACTAGCAGTAGCTCTCTGAGCATAAAACAATCTTTCTGCTGCTTCTTGCAGTCTTGCGCCATAAACGCACTTCCCTGTCTCCTGGTCCAGTGTTCCCCCATGAGCGAAAAACCAATTCTTTGCATGCTCTCCCCACTCGAGTGATTCTAGTGTGATACCCTTGGCAAGGTCTGCTTCCATTTTGTTCCACTTCTTAATGGCAGTCGGGTGGCCACCTGATCCCAAGTTATGGTGGTATATCTTCTGTTGGGCATTGCGTTGGTTCTTTATCACCCGACTCACACCCTCTTCCGACGTCTTGTACTGTACAAACTCATCCCAATAGGGCCTCTGCTTTGAGATCAGGCTTGGGACAGTGAAATCTGGTGCTATGTTCTTCTTGACATACGTTGTGTATAGGTGTTTCTTCCAAGTCTAAAACTGGGTGGCCATCTTCTTCATTGCCCAATCCCTAACTCGCTCCTTCAATTCATCACCATCTATTATATCATCATAACCATTTGTTTGGAGCATGAAATGTACCAAGACATCATTCCAAATTAACGTCTTGTCACGATCGGAGACAAAACTGATATGAGGAGCATTGGTCTTCTTCTTCCATTCATGGGTACTGATCGGGAGCCGGTCCCTTACAAGGTAACCACAGTGGTGCATAAGGATGGCAATGGGTAAATCCCCATCGGGTATGGTCACCCCAGACCCATCCCCGCCATAAAAATTTGGTAC